ATTGGTATTAGGGCTTTGGCCAAGAAAAATAATTTTTTAAAGGCCATTTATGATTTGGTCATAAATATGTCAGGTAATATTTTTGTCAAATTTTAAAATGTAATGCTTATTCAATTCTGACAGATCAGAGAGTTTTCTCTTTTGATGATCACCTACCATGAAGCCGTACTACACAAACAAGAATCACTTAGCATGAAGAAGAAAAAAGACTAAGGAAAGAAATAAATATGCTCTTTGCTGATAAAAGTCATAGTACATAGAATGAAACAAAAAAGTGTGAGCTGAATTCACAGCACTTAAGATTTAGATTTATTAAAACTAGTAAACCCATCAAGGAAAAATGCAGCCTCATATGAATTACATGGGTATGCTCTATCACTCCTCTGGAAAAGCTAAACACTGAGCAAAAGGCCTTTGAAAACAATGGTGCCTTTATACAAAAGCAGCTGGAATTGTGGTGTATTAAGCTGTACCAAAAAATATTTAGGCAAGTCCAATCAAATAAATATAAAAACAAAGAATCTAAATTCTTTCAAAAAGCAGTAGAAAATCAATGAGGCAATATAGTCCTTCCTTAAAGATGAATGAAGCAAAAGTAATTATTTTGAATCTATAAATGTTGATTAATTTTGCCTTCCCAGCCCCTCCTCACTCTTTAGACTCTATTAAGATCACCAAAAAGAATGGGATTTATTCATTTATACATGATTCATGCAAGAAATATGTATTGAATACCTACTGTATGCCAGGCATTATGGTAATCACTGGGAAAGTTGTGATAAATACAGCAAATCCGTTGACATCATGTGCTTAGTGGGGGAAACAGAAAATAACTATTTAAAAAAATAATTAGTGATTAAGTTTAATGAATTAAAATAAGAAAGGATAATGGGGTTAGCGGAGGACAAGTTTATATAAAATGGTTGGGTAAGGCTTCCTTGAGGAAGGACAGTGAACAGGGACCTGAATAACAAAAAACAAGCTGATAGGAGATATAGGATACAAATATTCCAGGAAAAGAAAAAATCAAGAGAAAACTGTAAATGTAGGAAAAGCATGTTGCGCTTAAGTAAAATCCAGAGTACTCTGCCAGGATGGGAAGAAGTGAAAGAGAGATGGGAGATTACATAACAGGAGAGGCTGGCATCCAATCAGAGTCTCATATGATTTCAGATTTGTAATGTTGATTCTAAGTGAAAGTATAAACTAATAGTTTTCAGCAGGACAGTGACAGGATATGGCTGCTAGTGGAGCAACTGTAGATGAGCAGGAGATGGTAGTGGCTTGGATCAAAGTGAAAGCAGTGGGCATGGTGAGATCTAAACGTAAGACCTAAATATAAGACCTAAAACTATAAAACTTCTAGAATGAAACAGAGGAAATGCTTCAGGACATTGGTCTGGGAAAAGATTTTATGAAAAAGACCTCAAAGGCACAGGCAACAAAAGCAAAAATAAACAAATGGGATTATATCAAACTAAAAAGCTTCTGTACAGTAAAGAAAACAACAGAGTGAAAAGAAAACCTACAGAATGGGAAAAATATTTGTAAACTATTCATCTGAGGGGGATTAATATCTAGAATATACAAAGAACTCAAAACAACTCAACAGCAAAAAAAAATCTGATTTATAAGATGGGCAAATGATCTGAACCGACATTTCTCAAAAGAAGACGTACATAGAGACAACAAATATATGAAAAAATGATCAACATCAATAATCATCAGAAAAATGCAAATTAAAGCCACAAGGAGGTATCATCTCACTTTAGTTAGGATAGCTATCATCAAAAAGACAAAAAATCACAAATGCTGACAAGAAACAAGGATGCAGATAAAAGAGAGCTCTTATGCACAGTTGGTGGGAATGTAAACTGTCATAGCCACTATGAAGAACAGTATGGAGGTTTCTCAGAAAACTACAAATAGAACTACCATGTGATCCAGCAATCCCACTACTGAGTACATATCCAAAGAAAAGGAAATAGGTATATTAAAGAAACATTTGCACCCTCATGTTCATTCCAGCACTAGTCACAATAGCCAAGATTTGGAATCAACCTAGGTGTCCAATAACAAATGACTGAATAAAGAAAATGTGATATATATATATTCAATGGGATACTATTCAGCCATAAAAAATGAAATCCTGTCATTCATGGTAACATGGATAGGACTAGAGGACATTATGTTAAGTGCAATAAGCCAGAAACAGAAAGTTGAACACCACATGTTCACATTCATATGTGGAAGCTTAAAAAAAACGTTGATATTATGGAGGTAGAAAGAACAGAGAATACTAGAGTCTGGGAAGGGTAGGGGGAAAGCGGAGATAGGGAAAAATTTGCTAAAGGATACAAAAGCTAGGTATGGGGAATAAGTCCTAGTGTTCTATACAACTGTAGGATGACTATAGTTAAAAATAACATATAGTTTAAAACAGCTAGAATGGGAATATTGAATATTCCCAGCACAAGGAAATGATAAATGTTTGATATCTTGGATATATTAATTACTCTGATCTGATCACTGTACATTATATTAACATATATCAAAATATTGCTATATACTCCTATAAATATGTACAATTATGTGTCAAGTTAAAAAAATAAAATTTAAGAGCATTTGGTGATTCCACTTCACACCCACTAGGATAGCTATTTTTCAAAAAGCAATGGACGATAACAAGTGTTACTGTTGGAGAAATTAGAACACTCATACATTGCTGGGGACAATGTAGAATGATGCAGCTGCTTTGAAAAACAGTTTGGCAGTTCCTCAATAGGTTAAACACAGAACTACCATGTGACCCTGTAATTCTATTCCTAGCTATATACTCAAAAGAACTAAAAACAGAAGTTCAAATAAAAGCTTGTACATGAATGTTTATAGTAGCAGCATTCACAAGAACCAAAGGTAGAAACAGTCCAAACATCCATCAAATGATAAGTAGATAAATTGTAGCATATTTATACAATAGAATAGTATTCAGCCATAAAAAAGGAATAAAGTACTGCTACGTGCTACAACATGAATGGACCTTGAAAACATGCTAAGTGAAAAAAGCCAGACACAAAAGACCAAATATTGTGATTCCATTTATACAAAATGTCCAGAACAGGCAAATCCATAGAGAGAAAAAGCAAATTAGTGATTGCCAGCGTCTGGAGGAAGGGGAGAATGGTCACTGCTTAATGATAGTTTTTCCTTTGGGGTGATGAAAATGTTCCAAAACTAGAGAGTGGCAATAGTTACACATTTTGAATGCACTAAATGTCACCAAATCATATACTTTCAAATGGTTTAAAAGGTGAATTTTATGTTATATGAATTTTACCACTATTTAAAAAAGAGCATTTGATGCACACACGCACAAAAAAACAAAATCCCATAACAAAAGTTCTGCCCAACAGGAATTGGGGGATGGTTTAGCCCCATTAAAGTATCTTTCTCGGGAAGTTTTTGTTTCTTTGTTTGTTTTTATTGAGACAGAGTCTCGCTTTGTTGCCCAGGCTAGAGTGAGTGCCATGGCATCAGCCTAGCTCACAGCAACTTCAAACTCCTGGGCTCAAGCAATCCTGCTGCCTCAGCCTCCCGAGTAGCTGGGACTACAGGCATGCGCCACCATGCCCGACTAATTTTTTCTATATGTATTAGTTGGCCAATTAATTTCTTTCTATTTATAGTAAAGACAGGGTCTTGCTCTTGCTCAGGCTGGTTTCGAACTCCTGACCTCGAGCAATCCACCCGCCTCAGGAAGTTTAATGTAGTAGAAAGTTTTGTGTGAAATACATAAAAAGATGTAATTAGTAGCAAGAGATTAATAGACCAGTAACAACAGACATAAAGCAGGGGAACCATAAAGGAGCCAAATTATAAGCAAGCAGAAACTTTGAGGAAGCAAAAATTCACCAGAGAGTAAAGCTATGAGTAGAATGTGGCAGAAGTGTGGTATTTAGGCAGAAGTCATAAAATCAGAGGGAAGCCAGCAGAAAATTAAGGAACGGAAAGGGCCCCATGAAGCCCAGTTCCCCAGAACAGCCTTGAATTCTGAGTGACCCTTCCTTCTATCCTGGGCTCTGTCAGTTATGGCTGAAGCATGGTTCCTGTTTCTTGTGTATGAACCAGCTCTTCTTAGTCTTTGTGAAACCCCATCTCCCTTACTGTTACCCAGGTAACCTCATAATAAATACCCATTATTTGAGATAACCTCGTGATCTTACAACCAAACATCCTAACTGTACACTCAATCTATTTTGAATGCCTTCCACTTTTCCATCAACAATTAATTAGCAATTGCAAATGTCTGATAATCTTCTATTTTATGGGGGTGGGGAGTGCAGAAATGGAGGAAAGTTTTATAAAAGAAGAGGAATAATGTTGGGGAGTGTGGATGATGGAGCTTAAGGGTTTGGGATTGTAGGGGACTGGTAGGTGTTGCAGTAGGTTTAGGGGATTGTGTTGTATCATATTTCTACTAGGCGACTTTTTATTTTCACAGTTAATTAATCCCTAGATATTGGTACAAGTTGCCCCTAGTATAAAGAGAGCAGTCCAGGTTTAAAATGGATCCTGTGTGTTCCCAAAGTAGAATTCTGACAATGAATGAGGCATGAAGGATCTTCCTCATTTCTTTCAGCCCTACAGGTTTGCTTGGCATCCCAGTTTACATAAATCAGATTGTCTTCTCAGTGTATTTCCATTGGCCTCACGAGGAAAAGTCTTCACAGATTTATTCTTCACAAAGTCTAGCAGTAAATTGATTGACAGTTCTAGTTTTCTCTGTGGTGAAATTGAATATTAAAATATGTTTTTGTATAGATTCATATGTCAACCATGCAAATATATTTCTCTGCTTCTTTCTCCTTTTTTCCTTCCTTTCTTCATTCTCTTTCTTTCTTTGAGTTGAGTAGAGTGGGGTGGGTTGGAAGTAGTGATGAAAGCAGTCAGTGAAATCAGTTTTATTAACTAGTCTTAGTAGTAATCTGTTCACTTGGCAGACGGTGGGGTATAGACCACCTAATTCTCATTACAAGCAGTGCCTGAGGCACATTTGGCACAGTCAAAAGAAAGTGAAGAGATTCAGAATGGAAGCAAGCTACTGAGACACTGCAGAATGCTCCAAAATCCAGCGATGGAGTGGAGATGGAACAACAGACCCAGGTCCTTCCTCTGCTGGAGGTTCTGGGACAGCCAGTAGCACTCTGCAAATGAAGACTCATGGCTACTTGGCTTTCAACTGAGGTATGTAACAGCCAGGAAAACACCACCAAGGCAGAGTCTTAGGGTACCTTTTTCTCCTGGAGGAGTGGCTGACTCACCATAGCAGGTTGTTACTGTGGACCTCAAGTCTGTGGAACAGTGGACCTTCATCTCATTCAGTGTCGGGGCTCTCCAGGGCTCCTGCCCTCCAGTAGGGACCCTGGCCTACATTTGGTAACTTGGAGTTAAATTGGAGAAAAGCTTGGAAATTTTGGCATAGTTATTTACAAATCACTTACATGACTTATTAAAATCTAAAAATGTTGTAGTCCCCTGAATTTAATAGAACAAGGCCAGTAGTGAGGGCAAAAATCTTTAAGGGAATGCTTACCCCTCCTAATATTTACTCCACTTATTTCTCTGGCATTGCACATTAGTCCTTTAAAAAGGTAATGTTTGGGCTCCTCCAAAGCCATGATGAGTACGAATATATGGTCAAAATTCACTGTCCTTTCCATACGTTCCATAATCCTGGGCACCCTCTCAGTCAGACACAAAGTTGGGACCCTGGAAATACTTTAAGGCATCATTTCATCTACACCTATTTGGGTCAAATATCTAATAATACCCACTCCTAAAACTTAATTCTGGAGCCACTATCATCTTTCTATTACATGGTCAAGAGCATCCCACACTTGACAAAACAGTGCAATGATACATCTGCATGTATTTACTAAGCCTAGGTTAATACTCATTCAGCCTCATTTCACCTAGTTTCTTTCACATCTTTACAACAAGGTGTGCACAGGAGCTTGAGACACAGTTTTAAATAATTATTAAATATAGACTTCAGATTATTTATCTCTTCACCAACCACTTCCTCTGGAATGCTTTCTCTACTGTCTGGAATATTATGACTTCATTTGAAGTCTCTCAGCTTTAACACAGCTCACATCCCACCCTTGGAGGCAAGTCATGTGACTAGTAGCTCATAGCATCTCTTTTAGTCCCTTTTGCTGTCCCCTGGACACCATGAAGCTACTAAAGTTAAAGCTACAACAGAACAGTAGAAGGTACTTCCACATTTCTATTCTCACACTCATCTTCTGCCTCATCCCTAAATGTTTTAAATTTCAATGATTTTAATGTGAGTCGAAATGAATAAGGCCCTAATGACTCTATCATCTACATTTATATTAGACAAGTATACAATTCCATCTACATAAATATGCATGCATTCTTAATGTATCACACTAAAGAGAATATCTCAAGAGAGGTACTTTAAAATAATGTACCTAAATTTGCAACTACTTATCATACTTTACACATAGATGAAATTACCTGAAATCTTCAGGTACTCTATATTTATGGTCAAAGAGTTTCTGAAATTTTGAAGCAGAGGAAATTATAACTGTAGGGAATACTTCTAACTCTTTTCTATTAATGTTTTTTAAAACTTGCATTTAACAACCTAAAATATATCTTTTTGCTTTTTGAAATCAGCCATTAGTTCTTAAGATACTTCTAACAATTAATGAGATGTGTTTTAAATTTTGAATATTCAGAGTGCTAATCTATGCATTGAATATCATTACCAGCAGTAAATGTTATCTGCATCAGGTCTATGTTATCTGCACATATACACAAAGTAAATAATTCAATGCCCTCCTTCAGATTGCAGGGAAGTATAATTCATTCTTCAGATTTTAATTAAAACAAGCTCAAGTGCAAATTGTAATCCTTACACATATTTTTAAACAATCAGAATGTAAAAGTCACTAAGTGATAGCAAACCAACTGAAGGGTTTCAAATTCAAGTTTGCATCAATTCTCTCAAAAGATATCAATAACTAGCTCTGAAAAACTGTACATGCTAAGGCAAAATCTTCCCTTTCAATTTATGTGATTTTATTAAATCATTTATATATCAGACTGTCAAAAATCACTTTAGTGACTTATTTATTGGCTATCTATCATGTTTCAAAGTGATTCTAACTCCAGGATGGACATTTTACTACCACCAGTGTCCTAATCTTAACTCTCTTGCTTATAATTTTGGTCATCAGTATTACAGGAGAGTTTTCCTGTTGGAAGTATCAGAGTCAGTAAGCACTCTCAGATTTCTGTTCTTAAAATGAGCAATCAGCCTTGTTGCTATAAGTTGGTTATTTCAGAGCAAAAGAGTAAAGGATTTGAAATGACAATGGAATATGTTTCCCTTTGCCTAGAATAGCTACACTTTAAGTTATGTGTATAAGAAACATAGTATGACCTGTAATTTGAACTAAGAAAAAATGTTCAAACTTTTTCAAAGACACACTGCTATCCCCGTGACTACCCCATCCAAATGGCTCCCCTGGGAGATGATACATTCTTACCTGATCCCCCCTATGGCCTCAGTTGATTAACCCAGGAGTGGATACCTCATTCTAGCTGAGCTAAGTAAAGCCCTTCCCAGGGATATTTTGAATTGAAACTGGAAAAGTAGGTCAGCATTTTGTGTTGGTGGGAGATATAATATGGAAAATGCATGAAATGCAATGTGAGCATTGGTGGCTCACATTCTACACTCTGTGGAGCAAACTAGAAATCATGATGGTGACATACAGAATATCATGTGAGATAGGTTATATCCTGGTGGCATTAAAGTCCCTAGCCACAGCTGCTTGTGAGAACTAGCTGTCTCTTAAAATGTGGTCGAATTCTTCCATGGGTTCTGAGAGATCATTTTAAGCTTAATTATGGTCAGTTACAACCCCAAAGAGTTCAGACTGATATTTAAAATTATTATCCCAAAGAAGATTCCTACAAGGGCAGAATCTAAAATTTTTATATGGCTGAGTCCAAGGGTGAGGGGAATAAGTATCTTTTTGAAGCCTAAGGATTTTTAATCTAAGAGTTCAATATGTACACTTACATTAATATGTACACTTTTTGAAGATGGTGATGTAGTTGGTTAAACTACCACCTGTCAGCTTTTGGGTTCAAGCCAAATGATTGCAGAAGCTCAAGCCTTAGGGAGATCAACAGGAAAATGCTGTCTTGCCTATCACAGGGTGTTGGCTACTTCCTTCAGCATTCATAAAAATGAAGCACAAAGGAGACAAGCTCATTCATTGAAAATAGACAGGGAACAAAAAGGTGAGATAGCTTTGTTAAAGACAGTTCTCCATGGACTCAGTAATCTGAAACTTCTGGAGATCAGATAATAATACAATTTGATAAATTGCAGCAAACTCTGACTCACCCTAAAGCAGTTAGCTGAGAGGCAGAATATTGGCTCCTAGCAATTGGAGTGGGTATATTCCAGAGGATCCAGAGTTATTAGCAATAACTAATTTATTGGCATTTCCTGTCTATGTATTAATCTTACCAGGAAAAGGTGATAAAGCCTTCCATTAAAAAATTCATTTGAGTTTCAGTTAAACATGGCAAATTAACCCTCTACTTCCTTGAACTTCACTTAAGTGATTGCTAAAAGAAATTAAACAATACAAACCCAAAGGCAAAGAGGATAAGAGGCAAAACAACAAAAAGGAAAGATATTAACAAAATTTGAGGGTGGAAAGTGGATAGAACCGAAGTAATTAACTGACTTTAGCAGAATTGAGAAATTTTTAACTTAAACACTTACAGAGGGAGGATAGTAGCAGAAAATGAGCAACCATACCCCCCACCCTTGAAAGGATCAGGTTTGAAGATACCAGGTAAGTGTTAGGTGTGAAATTGGACACAGGTGGATTAATTGACAGTCTAAAGAATGAGTAGTAGGAAGTACCAGTTCTCCCCAATCAAAGAGAACAAGTAACCACCCCTTCAGTAATTTCCCAAAAGAAAATAAAAGATTTGTTCTTTAAAGAAACCTATCCAGAGAAGATGGCGCACTGAAGGATGCAGGACTATGGCAAAGTATCAAATTGAAATGGGGTTTAATGAAAATGTATCTATTGAACTGTTGGACTCCAAACCTTTTGTTGCCCCCAGAATTCTCTGAAGAGACTGAACAGCTCCAGATGAAAGAGATCCATGTACTAATTTTGACCACCCTGCCAAAACTTTACATCCTGCCAAAGAGGCAGATTCATCATAGCTCAGTGTTAAGAAAGGGAAACCCGAAATGCAGAATGCAGATTCAAAGGCTCAGCAGGACATGATTCCTGACATTCATTATTAGATAACAGAATCTCCCAAAATTAAGTTAACAAGAAACTGACTAGGATGTTAAGTTTTACTGCCAAAGGGGAAAACAATAACAAGTAAATCTGGGATTGTTCAACAGCTTAGGAAATGCCCAGGTTTAAGTAGCCTTAGTACTTAGTACTTAGTGCTAGAATGAAACAGGTGAGACCAATGCACAGCCAGACCTGAGAACCAGTGGTCTATAGGAGAACATAAGGTGCTAGCTTCCAGGTGTCACAAATGGCCTGCTCAGCTGCAGCCATGCTTCTCAAGGTTTAATTGCAGATTCAAATTCTGAATTGACTCAGAATCCATCTCACTAGAGGAAAGCCCCTATCTTCAGGAGCCCCTCTAACAACCACCATTTTTCTCTGTTTTTATGAGCTCAGGCTTTTTTATAGTCCACATATAAATGAAATTGTAAAGTATTTGTCTTTCTGTGTCTGACTTATATCACTTAGCACTGTGTCCTCCAGGTTCATCTGTGTTGTTACGTGAGGAAAATGAGGAGATGTCAGTCAAAGGGTACTAACTTCCAGTTATAATGAATAAGTTCTGGGAATCTAATGGACAGCATGGAGACTATAGTTAATGATATTGTATTGTTTACTTGAAATTTGCTAAATGAGTAAACCTTATGTGTCTTAACCACACACATTCAAAAAAAGGTGAGGGATAACTGTGGTGATGGATGTGTGGATTAATTTGATTATGGAAACCATTGCATGTGTACCTGCATAGCAAATCATCACATTGTACAACTTGACTGTGAACAATTTTTATCTGTCAGTTATACCTCAGTAAAGCTGGAGATCGAGGAGAAAGAAGCCCCTCATTAAGAACAGCATGCCTTCTGAGTCCCAGGAGTGGATAACTTGGGTGTTCTTTAAATACTGTAATACAGAATTCTTACCATTTGAGCAAAGCCTTCTTCTGGGGATTGGCCCCTTAACCCATCTCGACTTTACCCTAGATATCTCCCAGACCATCTTTGCCTCTCCACCATAAGATAGTCTAGAACTGACTTGATGTTCCTGAATCAAGACTCAATCATGGCTTTTTTCCATGGAGCCCTCTGAAAGGCTGCACACAAAGGGTTATAATCTGGGTGCTAGGCCTGCAGGTGATATCATTCCAGATGAGCGTTGATAACAGATGTTCTTCCATTCTGTGGGTTGCCCTTTCACTCTCTTTACAGTGGAGTAGAGTATCAGCAGAGTAGCAAACATTATTTTTGCTACTGAATAAGAATCTTTCAAAACCATAAGTTCATGCAGTTCAGTTTCTTTGATAGGATCTGATCTTATGAAAGCATATTAAAAAATATTCATTGTATGAGACACAAAGACTCTATAATTTAACTACTTATACAATAATTTGAGTTACAATCCACTCCATGTAACAATGGCATTGAGATTCAAATTGAACAGCAGTAAATAATTTTTTAATTGTACTATCAGATTTGGTTAATCAGATATCCTTATGTTATCTTTCTGAAACTATGAAAAAAAGTTCTAAGTAGATTGTAAATCTAACTGCAACATTAAAATAATAAAATTTTTAGAAGAAAATGTAGGAGGATATTTCTGTGACTTTGTAGTAAATAGAGATTTCTCAACAGGGCTAATAATAATGAAAAGATTATAAATTGAACTGCATCAAAACTGAGAACTCTGTTCATCAAAAGACACTGAGAATGAAAAGGTAATGCAGATAATGGAATATATTTGCAGTATATTTATTCAATACAGGATCTGCATCTAAAATACATAAATAATTGCAAATCAATAAGAAAAAGACAACATGATGAAAATGGAGAAAATGACTTAAGTAAGTATATAAGATGCACAACTTGATTAGGCATCATGACTATGTGAATTGAAAACACAATGCCATGCCACTGCATATACTCAAAGAATATATCCAGTGTTGGCAAAAATGTAGAGCAAAACTAGACTCTCATATACTGATGGTGGGAGTGTAAATTAATACAAATGTGTCGGAAAGCTATCTGGCAGGATTTACTAATGCTGAACATATGCCTATCTTACCCTATATACACAAAAAATGTGTGCACATATGTTCACCAAAAGACATAAAAAAGAATGTTCATAGCAGCACTTTTCATAATAGTTACAAACTAGGATTTACCCAAATGTCCATCAAGAATGGAATGTAAAATAAATTTTGGTATATTCACAGAATACTATTTAGTAACACACTTCAATGATACTATTCAGAAGAATTTGCACAGCTATATACAACAGTATAGATAAATCTCATAAACATAATCCCAAATGAAGGAAGCCAGATATCTTCCTTGCCCTGATCTCACCTTGCTTTGTTATATCACATCATCTCTAAAAAGATGAGTGTGTATGTTTATGTGTGTGTATTTGAGTAGGGAGTTGCCTTTCTGTGGGTCTCAGCATGGCCCACAAAAGAGCCATTATCCTCAATTAATGTTGCTAATTCAGGTGAATCAAATATTAAAATTATTTTTATCTGCCTACCTTATATCTGCAGGGTTGGAAGGCTAATTGCATTGGAAATATAAACTCATTTTTTTCTCTCTTTTGTTTTTCACTCTACCTATCCTTGACCTCAAATTGAGTTAATTTGCAACTAAGAATTAAAAGTCATTTTAGAATAAATGTTTATAAAATGCTTTTTTTAAAAGTTCATAATATTTTCAAATTTGAGAAATTTAACCAGGCCTTAAAATTTTCACATCCAAGAGTTTTAGCTATGAGTTAGCTATTCCTTGTCCACAGGGGCCAAATGATTTAGCCATTGCTCATTTTCTGTTAAGGTATGCATGCCATTGTTCACCTCCATTCTATACACTTTTTTTTTCTAAACCTGCTATCAAAAATAAGTAAAAGTAAGTCAAAAACTCTGATTATCTCTAAAGTTTGCAGAACCTTCTGAAACATAAGAGAGACATTTCACCATGAGGAAAGCAATGGTCCCTGAGGAAATAAGGTATACTGGCAATCCCAGGACCAAAACTCAGGCATAGTTCCTGATGTCTGGGCATTCTTGGTCAAGTTTTCTAAACCATATGAGTTATATCATTTCTATGCCATTTTCTTATTGGTATATTGGTGACTACAATCCCCACATTGCAGTAGAGCTATGAGAAGTTAAAATAAGTTGAAAACCCATCTGTCCTTGAATAGATGCTCCACAATTAGTGCCTGTTACTTATTCACTAAACTGGAGGCTCCACAAGGTGACAACCATGCATTATTCACTTTGTTCTCAATGGCCATGCAAATCCCTAGAAATTGTAAATGCTCTATAAATAGTTGTTAAATTAATAAGTTAATAAATTAAATAATTCTTTGAAAATATGATAGTAATGGCTTCCACATATCCTACTTTATGTATAACATAGTTGGTTTTGAAAGGGTAGGTAGACCTGCCCTGTTTTCCTGGAATTCTTTTCCAGACCACACAGGTGAAAACCAAGTATCCACATTCTAAGTTCAGAGAGTTATCTGCTGTGAGGATAATCACTGTCCTATGGGGCTTTTTGAAAAGGGCCATTTCAGCAGAACTCACACTAAAATGATACTGCCAGAGGGCTAGAGAGGAGATGAAAGTTTGATTCCAGGTGGGGAGTAATGGAGATGTAGAAATTGTCACGTAGCAAACCATCCATTCCTCCTTCCCTCCCTTTGGGAATAGGGCCATTCACTTAGTTAACTCACATTCCTGTGATACTAGAGGTGCTCAAGCCACTATGCTGAAGATTTTCAGTCATCTCCCATGTAAAAATTGCTGAACATCTGTCCTCACAGAGTGCCTGTTTTCCAAGACCTGATGCTAGGCACATAAAGAAATGGGCAAGAAAGAGCCGTCAGTACAGAAAGAGGGCCTGGTTGGATGACATTCCCACCACTCATGTGAAAACTTCTGTGGATTTCCTATGAAGGATGGAGCAGACCGTGTAGAAGGTGGAGGAGACTGAACCATCCCACTGCTCCAGTCAAGAGTGCTGCTCCTGGGTAAGGCAGCTCTAGCAGCAACAAGATGGTCTAAATGAATTGTTATAAGACTGAGGGAGAGGAAGACACAAGCTCAGTTGTTGTTCCTTTATCAGAGCCTCTGAAGGGAAGGTCACCTCCAAAGAACCAACCCTGCACCCCACCACCCAGGAGAGCCTGCAGCTCTGAGGACACCGTCAGCCCCGTCTGGACTCAGTGATGAGCAACAGGAGAAAGAATCCTGTGGTCATGTACACTGTCTCCCTCCCCTTTGTCCTTCTCTCAACCCCAGGGGAGCAAGAGCAGGAAAGGAGGCAGGTGAGAGAATAGACATCCTGATGTGCCCTGTTCCAAGCTGCCGTATTCCTGGGATTCATGGGAAAAGGGGTAGAGAATAGACAAATTAAGTCTTAAAATTTCCAATCAACTCTCTTAATAAATAGAATGTTTGAAAAATTACATAAATGCCTTGAGACACCATTAAGGAAGCCAAAGATCCCACAGGAAGACAAGGTTTGATAACAAGATTTGATAGAACGTACGTAGTAGAAGAGTCAATAGAAAAAAAAAATTATAAATTCAGGCCAGGCCCATGTGGATGTCTCATCATTTATGTAGCCATTATCTAACTTCCAGACACCACTCTAGCCTGCAGTTTCTGGACTAATGCAAATGAGACAGTTTTATGGAAGAATCAGGACATTTTGTATCACATGGTGAACTACACACCATCGCAGTCAGAACAATTAATATCCAGCACAAACCTGACCCACAGCGATTATATCAGATGCATTTATTTCTATTCTTTCTGTCCCTATGTGTTCTCAGACCCATTTCTGCCCTTCCTTTAATCTGCTCTGTGGTACACAGGGCTGATCCCTGTAAATTTCATTTCCCACTGCCATGCAGATGAGTTCAGTCAGTGGGAACAGTGACTGAAGATCTGAGGGTGGACGAAAAGAGGGGCCAGTGCAACCAACTTCTGTTTCAGAGGCATCCCCAGAAGGGCTATATACCCTCCAGAGTTATACTCAGTCCCTCTCTCCATGCTCCCAGCCCCTGAGGGCCCTGGCAATAATACTATGTCCTCCTTCCCTTTTTCTTCCACCCTTACAGCTGGTAGGAAATTCTGCTGCAGCTACTAATGGGGCTGCCTCTTTTCTTCTTCTTGCCATTTTGGCTCTTCCATCACTTCTGTAACTATACTTGGCATGGACTGTTTTCCTGATTAAACATCAAAAAATTTACTCTCCTAATTCCATCCATCCTCCATCACTGTGTGAAGACACCCAGACTAATGGAAAATACACCCCTTTTCAAGGGATTCCATATTTATTCATTAATCTTTAGCCTAACTGATGTTTTAGAGACAGAAATACACTGATATTTAGTGTCCATTACCAATCCCAAATTTTCAAGGGAAAAGTGATGGCCATCAGGAATAACATCAAATTGAGTTTCTCAATCACTGGGACAAATGGGCATAACCCTGCACTCCCCACCCCCACAGTTCAAAACTGGACATTTTTAGGGAGTCAGTGTATTCTTCAACATTGAAATCTAAACCCCTGGAATATAAACCACAAAACCAACTAAATTTTGATCGAAACTAGATTGTATTTCTTTCAGAAGATAGATTCAAAGGGTGAATGTATTCATTTATTCAACAATTATTTATTGACTACATAATTCTAGGTGCTGGGTACACAGCTATACATAAAACAAACAAAATCCTTGCCTTCCTGGAGCATACAGTCTCAAGGAAGAGATACTCAAAAAGCAAACAGATAAATAATATTTCAGCAAGCTGTAAGTGCCATGAAGAACAATGGAGAAGGGAAAAGTAAGGATAGTGGCTGGGAAAGGTTTATTGCTGACAGAATGTCAAAGAAGGCCCCGGAGGGAATAACCAAAATGCAGGGTCTGACTGGTGATAGGGAGTCAGGCGTTTGGAGACAAGGGCATCCCCAGGCTGGACAGGCTGGAATGGAAGCCCTGATGCGAGAAGGCAGAGTGGGTCTGAGGAATTCCACCCTGGCTCCAGCATGTGTACTTTAAGAACCAGCATTTTACATTGCATTCAGATTTTTATAATATTTCAGTCATCTTTGGTTCAGCTCTCAATTTTTCCAAAGCACACACACTCCACAATTAAAAACAGCTATCACTAAGCTTTTCTCAGTAGACTCATTTACAAGTGGTCACAAACATCCACATTATTTGCCCTGTGTTTCTCTCAATGATAATCCCTAGACCAGTTGCTTCCAAATCACAGTCTTTTCAAGTAACATGTATGCACACTGAGTCTGAGAATTGCCAGGAAATATACCTCTATGCCACAAAATTCAGCATTCTGTCATGAGTGAAGCTCCAACTTGCCAGCAAGTATATAAAATTTCACAGTAATATTCAAATTCACCCCCCCCAAAAAAAAAGTCCCATTTAAATGAAAAGCAAATAGTTTGGAAATGTCCAAACAAAACCAAAATACATAATTTAATTTGTAATTCCTAATTCAAAGGACCAATTTTTAAAATTCTATTTGGAACTTTATCAACATTACTGGCCATGCCTGTGTGTGTGTTTCTCCCTCTCAACACAGAGAATTTGAGCCAACTTTTAACATGGTCTAAGAAGGTTTCCACTTCTCTCTATGTCTCTGGAGCAGCTGGTGAGCTTCTATATAACTTTGATTAAAAAGAAGCTCTGGTTATCTCAATTTCTGGGCACAGTGCCTCTTCAGTGTCCCTTTCCCAATGCATACCTAGAAAAGTCACAGAAAATCACTCTCAGACTGAACTTCCTTTAAAAAATTGTTATATCTGATTTATATTAATATGCAGCACTTGACAATTTAAAAATACTGTAGCAAACCAAATAAATGACAAAGTTTGCAGGCTTGGAGCAAGCAACCATGTATTTCATAATTTCAAAACCAAATTGCTTACAGGCTCATCAGAAATATTACACAAGCATAAAAATGCCTTTCCTGATTGCAAAACATAAATATACATTCCAAATCAATTCAATCATGTATTTCTTATTTCTAACAATGATATTATTTGTATTAATTTTGGAACACCTTTATTGCCTAATTAATCCACATATATCACACCTATTTGAAAAAATTTTAATATATGCATACTTTCAAAAGAAAATTCACCTTAAAAAAATTTAAAAATTGAAAGGAACAATCCCTGCCAGTGATGGCTTTTAGGATATTATTCAGCCATACTGCCACTTTTACTGATCATAGTTTTTATCTCATTGCATGAAAATATTTGGTCATTCCACAGTCTTCCAAAAGTTAATTGACATTGGGGTCCATGGAGAAAAAAAAAAAAATCACAGGATTTAAAGAGCAAAATTACTTCTTGCTTTTTAAAACTTGACCAATTCTTTATGCACCAAGTAATTTTAGTCTAATGGGAATGAGGGGAGGTTTTTGAACATTGTCATCACAGTTTTTCTCATATTTTTTTATTTCCATGTCATGATATCCACTCTGATTCTTTTCTCTGTGAGAAGAGTGTCTCTTCAAAGGTCTCCCCTCTTTCCCTAACCTTCTACAAAAAGCCGTAGAGTGAAGGAACAAAGACTCCACCACATCCAACATGCACACACCACTCTACCAGACATTGTCTTCTTCTGGTCCTATGCTCAGTCGTTCACACTCCTTTTTACCACAAAGGCAACAACCAGTAAACTACAAATTAAAAGGTGTCAAAGGTTTATAATGTTGCCACCCATTAAACTGACCCAATCCCAACCTGTTTTCTATAAGTCTATGCCAGTCCTTAAAATGTCCACTACAGTTTGCACTAATTCTTTCCAAATTATTAAGGAAGATTCCTAAATTAAATAGTTATATTAAAGGCAATCTAATCCAACCCTCCTAACCCACCATACCTAAAGTAAGCACTCAATGTTAGCACTCTCAAAAAAATAAAATAAAAATCAGAAGAGTCATATTTAATGGGTCTAGTGGACAAAATGGAAGTAGCAGCAACTAGCAATTAGTCCAATGACCAGATCATTTCTTTCTTTTTACTTTATTAAAATACTGAGTTTAGGCCAAGCACAGTGCCTCACACCTGTAATCCTAGCACTCTGGGAGGCCAAGGCAGGCAGATTGATCGAGGTCAGGAGTTCGAAACCAGCCTGAGCAAGAGCGAGACCCTGTCCCTACTATAAATAGAAAAATTAATTGGCCAAATAATATATAGAGAAAAAATTAGCCGGGCATGGTGGTGCATGCCTGTAGTCCCAGCTACTCAGGAGGCTGAGGCAGGAGGATTACTGGAGCCCAGGAGTTTGAGGTTGCTGTGAGCTAGGCTGACGCCACACTCACCCTAGTCTGGACAACAAAGCAAGACTCTGTCTCAAAAAATAAATAAAATAAATAAAATAAAATACTGAGTTTATTTCATGTGTACATTTTTGTCTCATCACCATTTCCATGTCTGATCACCAGTACTACTATGTCCTATCATAACATTCCATACATACTTAAAACCAAGCAAAGGGTGGATGGAGTTCCATCTTTAAAACCTATACAGGATCTTTAGACAAGACACTCTTGGCAGTGGTACCTGGACAACATTTATCAAACACAGTAGGGAATTTCTTACTCTGCATTACAAAAAAGACAGCCAGATATCAACTGTTATAGGCACACAATAAGATAGAGATTTTTACCAAACTGTTTAAACTACTTTTTTTTAGGTTTTACAAATTTTTTTTATTTTTTTATTTTTTCCTTTTATTTCATCATATTATGGGGTACAAATATTGTTAGGGTTACATATATTGCCCCTGCCACCCTTACCCCCCACTACCACGTGCCAGAGCTTCAAGTGTGTCCAATTCCCAGGTGGTACGCATCATACCCATTATGTAAGTATACACCCTTCTCCTCCTCCCCCCTCCCACCTGCCCTCCACCTAATAAGTTGGGGGTTTTTTGACATTTTGGTTATATTGTATATCTTAGCTTCTCCCTAAGAAGGGTTAGAAGTATGCCCTTCCCCCCCACACAGTGCTCACCACATCCCTAAGATGTGGGTCTCCCCCCACCCCAAATCCTTGGTGAACATTACAACCATTTGAGCACCATAGTTTTAATCAGTCAATACCAATTTGATGGTGAGTAGATGTGGAGCCCATTTTCCATATTTTCTGTTGCCTTACTTTGGATAATGGGCTTAAGCTTAATCCAGGATAGCATAAACAGTGCTAGCTCACTGTCATTTCTTAGAATTGAGTAATATTCCATTGTGAGCATATACCAAATTTTAATTATCCACTCATGAATTGACGGGCACTTGGGTAGTTTCCATGGCTGTGCAATAGTGAATTGTGCTGCCATAAACATTCAAGTGCAGATGTCTTTATAATAGAATGTCTTATGCTCTTTTGGGTAGATGCCCAACAATGCTATTGCTGGGTTGAATGGTATTT